TGCTGTGAAAATTGAAAATAAACTTCACGGGAGGGCTGATTTGTCTGCAATGTCACTTGTGAATAATTATCTAAAGCATAACACAGATAAAGAAGTTCTAAAGCAATTTTTTTTTGAAGGGGAAAAAAGGCATCAGTGTCCCCTTAGTGTTTCAGAAAACAATGTTATTACATAATCAAAGTCACTTACAATACAGCTCCTCAAGTTCTCAAGGAAATGTTCATCTGAGATGATAATTGATTTGAACAGTTAACAATGCTTGAATGTATATGATGTCATAGATTGTTATATGATTTCTGAGATTCATTTTAAATATTCTTCAGGGCATAGTGAAGTTATTAGAGGAAACGAAGCTAAAGTGTGTCACAGGTTATTATTTCGTGCATGGGTATATCAATATAGCAGCTATACATATCATTTTGGTTTTCAAAAGAAGCTGCAATAATTTGTTAATTAATACATTATTGTTTGTTTTTATGGGAAAGTTATTTTTAATATCATGAGTAGTTGTATATCAGGTGAATCAATTGAAGGAATTATGATTTAGGAGACATCTATAGTATAAGGGGCTGATAGATACAATTGGGGGAGATTTGTGAGCAGATGACATAAATATGGTGTTCAAGAGGCTCTAGACAATAATGAAAAATGTTGAGAATACTTTAATATACACATATTACCAATTGTATCATTCACATGCAGATTTCTGTTATTTTTTTTCTTTCTTACATCCCTTACTTTCTTACATTACATTAACCCAGGGTCATTATGGCAAGTTCAAGGTCACTGGTACAAAACGCACAGGTCTACAACTTCTTTATAGAGAAAGATTGGAACTTATAGTTCAATCAAGGTGTGTGTGCCCCCTTATGGCAGCTTATAGTGAAGGTTATAAACTTTCTTAAATGCAAACAAATGTGTTGGTACCAAAAGTGAAACACTGATGCCCCCGTATTGCAACTTATAGCGAAGGTTAAACTTTCATAAATGCAAACAAATATGTTGGTACCCTAAGTAAGGTCTTGTCTGGAGGAATATACCTGTGAAATATGAAAGCCCTAGCAACAACCATTGAAAAGATATGGAAAAGGTTAAAGTTTTTCAAAAATAAGTCAAACCTCAAGGTCAAGGTCAAATGATCAAAATTAATGGTACCCAAGGAAAGAACTTCTTACAAGAAATAGGCTTGTGAAATATAAAAGTCCTGGCACCAACCATTCAAAAGATATGGCCAAGGTTAAAGTTTTTCAAAAGTAGGTCAACCTCCAAGGTCAAGGTCAATGGGCTATAATTGTTGGTATCTAAAGGAAGGTCTTTTCACAAGGATTAAACATGTGAGTAAATGAAAGCCCTAGCACCAACTGTTCAAAAGTTATGAACAAGGTTAAAGTTTTCCAAAAGTAGGTCAAACTCCAAGGTCAAGGTCAAAGGGTCAAAATTGTTGGTATCCAAAGGAAGGTCTTGTCACAAGGATTGCACATGTGAAGTATGAAAGCCCTAGCACCAACCATTCAAAAGTTATGACCAAGTTAAAGTTTTTCAAAAGTAGGTCAAACTCCTAGGTCAAGGTCAAAGAGTCAAAGTTGTTGGTCTCCAAAAGAAGGTCTTGTCACAAGGATTATACATGTGAAGTATGAAAGCTCAAGCACAAACTGTTCAAAAGTTATGGCCAAGGTTAAAGCTGGGTAAAATTTTGTAAAACTGGGTCAAACTCCAAGGTCAAATATGATGGTACCCAAAGAAAGGTCTTGTCACAAGGAATACACGTGTGAAATATGAAAGCCAACTACCAACCATTCAAAATTATGATCAATGTTAAAGTTTTTGCAGACAAACAAACAGATAAACAGACAAACAGACAGACGGACAGGGCAAAAACTATATATCCCCGAATCTTTGATATGGGGGCATAAAAAAATATTGCTTATGATATGAAGGTGTGTCATGACCTTAAGCCTTTGCCATTTGATCAAGTTCAAGGTCACTTGTAGAAAAATGTAAAATTCCTGGAGATTAATTAATGGAGAACATTAGAGTCTCATACTTAATCAAAAATATTGCATATGATCTGAAGTATATATTGACATTGACCCAAAGTCATTCCAAGAAGTTCAAGGTCACTGGCAAAAAAGTGTTTATTTGTGTCTTGTCTTTAACTCTCAAGGCTAATTGAAAATTGATACTTGATGCAAAGATTGCTTATGACTTAAGAATGTGTCTTGATCTAACCCAAGGTCATTTTGGCAAGTTCAAGGTCACTGGCAGAAAAAGTGTTAGATTTGTATCTGGTCTATAACTTTCTGATTGATAAACATTGGAGGATCATACCCCGTAAATCTGGAAATTTTTACTGTAGATAAATTTTTAGCAAATTTGTGTGTGCATTGCATTCGCAAAAATATTTTTCTTAAAAATAAATCAACAACAAAAAATGTAAACAAAAAGTTTGCTGACAGCTGTTGGCTATTTTTTTAATCCAGTGAACAGGTGTTCATAAGCAGTAGCCAATTTAAGAAACCTGTTTATACTACAAGCTAATTACCCGTGATAATCCGTGCATGGAAAGTGTCTTCACTACATTCATGTCTCTTTTAAATTATTTCTCCAAGAAAGAGAGGCCAGTTTTATACATATTATGTAATTCAATATTAATTAGACGTTTTTTCTCTTCTTATACCCGGGAGAATGTTTTTATCTGAAGGTTATTTAAAGCTGACATTGTTTTATGTACATGCGTGATTTAGTAAAATGTTATGACAACTTTAAACAGTTTAGGTGTTTTATTGCTTTTAATATTTTTATCTGATTATTGAACATTGCAATCATTTAATATTGTATGTACATGCGTAATTTATTGTATGTATATATGCGTAATTTATTGTATGTATATATGCGTAATTTATAATCTGATTATTGAACGTTGGCATCGCTTAATATTGTATACGTACGAGTACATGCATGATATATTGTATGTACATGTGTACGTATAAACTGTTTTGAAAATTTTAATTTAATTTAAAAATTTCCAGATTTACGGTACTTCACACAAATATTACTTATGCCTTGAATGTGTGTTATGCCCTGACCCAAGGTATTCTGACAAGCTCATGGCAGAAAGTGTATAAAAATTTTGTTGGAACTTGAAACTTTAAAAAAAATTGAGCTATAAGTTGTCTTTAAAATGTAGGAGGGGGGGGGGGTGCACTTGCTCAGTACCCCTAATTCATACTTCTCATAAAGACAAAATTCTTGGGTTAGAATAATGCATGCACAGGTTTGTGTCCAATTCTTGGACTGTACATTAGTTTTATGTATAGCTGCCACTACAATTTGAAAGAGCTCAAATAATTTTCAAAATTGATATTTTTTGGTTAATGAACATGGAGAGTGTTTTGAGAGTTTTCTGGCAACTTTACCTCTGAAAAAGCTTTGATTAATATTCACCAATCAAAAAAAAAATCGCAAACTCTGTCAATTGATGATCTTGTGTTTTGACATACTTGTATCCACACCTCCAGTTAAGATCCTCGAACAATATATTCTACCTTTTTTTTCTTTTGATTAGATTTTTTTTCATGCTAATATAGCATGTAAATGAGATGCTCAGCTGAATACTTATCTGTATACTGACCAAATAATCAGAAATAATTGTCCAAAAATACTATACATATAAAATGTGTGGAAATTGCCATGGAAAGTAATTGTACATTTGCCAATTACGCATGCTCAGTATGAAGAAAATAATTAAAAGAAGACATGTAGAATTTTTTTATCAAAACTTGTTTGAACAATTTTCATCATACTCAAAGTGGGGAGGAAAAAAAATCTGAGAATTGGTAGTGAGACAGTACTGTTATACAAAGGAGTTGTAAGTGTAATGTAGTGCTAGCATGCTTATAAGTACATGTATGAAGTACAGGTATTTTCACACCTTACACTCTACTGGTATTTAGGATGTTTTCTGCCGTAGAGAGAATCATGTTAATAATTGCCACCAAGGAAGAAATATACAGTTGAACTTCGTTATCTCGAACACTGATATCTCTAATAGCATGGATATGTCGAAGTGATTTGGAAGTCCCAATCACTTATTCTTTCACTATTTTACCCCTGATATCTGGAATACTCAGATATCTCAAAGTATTTTCTTGGTCCCATCAAGGTCGAGATAACAAGATTTCACTGTAATTTAGTTATTGATTCTTGTTTCACTTAACAAGATCAATACTGTATTGGAATACTTCTGGCTAGAGGTAATGCTAGTAATTTTTTTCAGTGATATTGGCAAAGATTACTTTTCATGGTGGTATATCCATTTTGGATTAAGAAAAGCAAATTACTGGTACATGTTTTCACTGAATGAATTGCATAATTTGCTGTAGTTGTCCCGATGTCTGAATGTTGTGTTATGTAAATTTTATTTTTTTGTCTGTCAATCTTGTAAGGATGCATTTACTGCAGTTTTATTTTTTTTTTACCTTGAACAGTGATCTTGAGCTAAATTTGAGAATTCTTTTATGGGCTTCTTGCATATGATAGCTTTTTGTGCTATTAAGTGATGCTCAGACAACTTGATCACAGCAGTGAGAATTCTTGATAAATCAGTATAGACTCTACAAACACACAGAAATTTTTGGGATGCATACCCTATTAACAATTTTTTTTGTGTGTATATTTTGTATTATGATGGAGGACTGACATCCTGTTTAAATAGCTTCAAAGTTGATATGGTGACCTTTATGGAAAAGTTTTATGTTGAATTTCAAGTTATTTAGTTGAAAAGATCACATTAATTTTTGTAAAACTCTTGTACAATGTTGATACAAAAAGTTTTGAAAAGGGAAAATCTTATGCTACTGATGTGAGTCATATATGTCAACCAAAAGATTCTCCCCCACCTCCAATTCAAATGAGACTATTTAAAACAGTGTTGCATAAGAGATCTCTGATATAATATGGTAATTATCCTTATTGATTTTGATATTTTTTCTCATTTTAAGGTCCTTGGGGATGTCAAGACAAGCAGCAAGGTAGGTGACAATATCATTGTGTTATTTCTTACTAACCATAGGACATTACATCGATTTACCAATCCCTGTCAAAAGGATGTAACAGACAGAACAATAAAAACCCCAATCACAGCCTCTGCACTATTGCAGATTTTAAAAAATTCGGTCATTGCTCCATTTCTATACAACCCGTAAGTGTCATATGATTATAAAGTCTTTAATTGAATATAAGTGTTAATTAGAGACAGTGTGAAAGAGGGATATTTTTAGATCAGGTGATTATCAAGAACTTTATCTTCTATTGGAAATGACAAGAACTTTGATAAATAACATAAAATCAAGCTTCTTGGGTGGGTTTATTTCTTAGATTTTTAAGGGGAAGAAATAAATCTTAATGCGCTAGGACTTGTTCCAAAATGTACACAATTATTTTCAGTTATATTTAAATTAAAAAAAAAACTTAACTAATTTTTATGGTAATCAGTATGTTAAAGAAGTCAAATGATGGCAATATGTCATGAAAATGTAATAAACTCAGAAATTATGTATGAATATAGGAACCTGATGATATAGCCTTGAGTCAGATTCATGAAACCACAAATATTGATTATTTAAGACTATTGTTGATTGACATTCACTACAAAATAATTATTTATGTATTCTGTTAGAAGGAAGAATTGTGTTTCTGAAGTGTCAGATTTTTGCATTTATAGGTTTAACCATTACTGTAATTGTCCCATATGTTATAAGCACCAATGCCCATATATATTCTTCTTCCTCCCCCTATTGTTTTTAATCTAAATCAGTCATGCCTCTTAATAATTAAGGCCTCCTTGTCTAAAAAAAAAAAGGCAATGACCAAGCAAAATTGTGTGGATAAATGAAGCACTCAAAGAACTGAAATTTTTTTCTAAATAAATCTTTGTTTTTAGCTCACCTGAGCTTAAAGTGAGCTATTCTGATCACAAATTGTATGGGTGTCCATTTTTTGTCTCTCTGTATGTTTCAATTTATATGTTCATCTGTAAACTTTATGAATTTTTCACTTTTTAGTACACCAGAGCTGAAAGCTCAAGTGAGGCTTTCTGATCAATTTTAACGTCCCTCTGTCTGCCTGTCCATCCATTTGTAAATTTTTCACAATTTCGTTGTCTGAAGAACCACTGGGCCAGTTTCAACCAAACATGCCACAAAGCATTGTTGAGTGAAAGGAAATTCCGGAATTCAAGTTTGTTAAAATGAAGGGCCACACCCTCTTTAATGGGGAGATATTTTAGAATTTTTAGTTTACATAGGAAAATATAGGAGAAAATCTTTAAAACTCTTCTTCTCAAAAACAGCGAAGCCTAATTTGTCATATTTGCTAGGTTTATCCCCATATCATGTAGATTCAAGTTTATTTCAAATCATAGTCCCTGGGGGTAGGGTAGGGCCAAAGTAGGAGATCAATGTTTTATAGGAATATATAGGAAAAGTCTTAAAAATTTTCCCTCCAATGAATAGGAAAACCATAATTAGTCATAATGGTATGCAAGCATCCTCAGATAGTTTAGATTCAAGTTTGTTTAGATCAGAGCCCTCAGGAATATGTTGAGGGTACAATAGCAGATCAAATTTTTTGAATGGAATATTAGGAAGAAATCTTTTCTAGAGTAGTAAGACCACACTAAATCATAATAATAAGTCAAACAATATATCCTTAATTCTCATTATAGCATGGGTTCCATTGTATCGCGGTATTTCCCAAAAATTAGGATACATAGCTCATATCCTTTTTGTTGATGGACTATCTGTCTGTCGTCTGAATGTTGACTTTTGTGATGATTAAAAAATATGGAACACACGTTGGAAAAATATTTATTCAAATAAAACAAAATTTTACAGATTTCCATTCCCATTTTTATTTTTATTTAGACCATTGAATATATAACCAAGTAAAATCCATAATTTAAGTTCATATTTTGAAAGCCTTAAGTTGTGTTATACTTAAGTTTTCATGTAGATTTACATCATAAATTTAAAAAATAAAAATTGTACTTTGTGACCGTGCCAAACCTCCATGTTTTCAATACCGCAATACAATGAGACTCTCCACTTTTGGAGGTAAATTAGACTTCCTGTTATAAAAATACTAGACTACAAACTAAACGAAGAAAGCTTGGAAAATAATTAGCCACTAAAAAGTTAGGCCATTAATAGGTTTATGAATAATATTTGGTGAAAAGTTAATGTAAGAACTTGGAATAACTTTTTTATGCAAAAGAAATAAGTACCGTGATATTATGAGACACCAGTATACTATTTATAAGTTGTGTGGAATGAGTTTTTTTTTTTTTTTTTTTTTTTTTTTTTTTTTAAATTATGAACCCTGGGATTAGGGTTGGGCCAAAAATAGATCAAAATTTACATAATGCATGTGCACATGGGGAAAAAATCTCCTCCAGAACAGCAGAGTCATGTTGATTGTATTGATATTGAAGCATTCCAATGTTGTGTGTATTTAGCTTGATTAAAATCATAGCTGTAACTGTAACCATTGGGCCAATTTTGGCCAAAGCTGGCACAATGCATCTTTTTAAAATTTTGTTAAGGGGATCCCTCCATTGTTAGGTCATATTGATGCAATACCCAAGGTCTACTGTGAAATACAAGTCATGATTCTTATAAAGGATACAATTAGATTGGACTGATTTGCTTATATATACTTTGGAATGAGTATTTAGTCCTAGAATGTTCTGAGCATGATTCATTGTATGCATAATCAATGAAGACTATCTTTTATACATGATTGTATACATATTTTGAAAGTGATGTTTCCATTAGGCCTTAGACAGCAGTCTGCAGTGGGGGTATTGGTTTTACTGAAGAGTATGTTTTTCATTGAATGACCAAACTGGAATTTCTTTTCCTTTGAGTTCTCTTGAATTGTTTAATTGGTAGCCATGAATTTCATTAATTTCAATTTTTTAAAGATTTTCCTCTCTTTGAAATGACTGATACTAATTATAGAATAAGGTAAGAATCTTTCAGAGGTGGTGGGAAAAAGGAACTAATAAACCACATTTTACCCTTTTTTATTCTGGAAATCTTGCAGACACACCATCATCCATTACTCAATACTCAATGGGTCACAATGCCAACCTACCCAAGTCAATTACTGTAATTTTCTGACACATTATTTTTGAGAGCTTTTGCAGTATGAAGACCATAGGAACCATTGCCAACCAATGAAAAATGTCACATTTTATTTCTTCCTTGGAATATGTAACAAGTGTCTAATTCTCTATTATTTGGTTGCATTCCAACCTTTAATTATTTTAATTGAGTATATGACTTTATAGATATGAATGAATAAAATTATTACTTTTGAATACTTTGTTTTCATAGTAGTGTATGTAATTGATTCCCAGATATGTTTATCATGCATTTAAGGACATATGCAACGTACCTTACCTACTGATAATTTTTCAAGATATTCTTAATTTAAGATAATAGTGCCATCAGATGTTCATAGACAAAAAATCAGCATGCATTACCAGAGATTTTGAAAAGATATCAATTGATGAAAATTCTTGTATACTTCAAAGAAAAATATTCAAAAATTACTAAACATATATTCTAGATGTTTTGTTTATCCAAATTTGTTTTAGAAGAAGTGTACAACAGCATATATAGACATTAGAATGTAGCACACAGTTCCTTTAAGTATTGGAACTCTTCAACTCCAGGGAAAAAGACAATTAAGTTCAAACTACATTGCGTATTCCTTAAGACATCAAGCCTTCAACTTTTGGAACCATTCATTGTCACCTTTCTGGCACATGTATACATGGTAGCAACCGATTTTTTGCATGATTTGAGTTTACGGTATCAAAGATTAATTTGTAGAGAGTTTGGGGAAATTCTGAGACTACTCCTATATATCATTGCAGAGAATGGCTCTTAAATTACTTCTAGGTAAATAGTGGTTATAATTCTAATTTAAACATTTTTTTCAAATAACATATTTTATAGTGTCATGTCAATTTGAGAAAGTATATCCGTGTGTTGTTCTTCAAGATATCTGTATATATTAACTTCAAAATAGCCTAAATAATTCCTTTGTATGGCTTCAATTTCACCAAGAGATTATAAATAACCAAAACGGACTACATGAAAATACTTGCATATTGATAACTGTAAGAAAACAAAAATTTGAAATTAAAGTATTTTTGCATAAAATTTTAAACCTGTTAATGCAGCCCAGCTGGTCACCAGGTCAGTTAGTCTCTGGAGTGAATCTTTTCTGCATAGAGATGTTGCATTTCAATTTTTGACCAATTTTTACAACTTAAATTCATGGTAACGGTTCTAACGTCAGGAACTTCTTTCCTGTAAGTTATCAATTGACATAGATTTTTGGAATAGTTTGTCCCAGGTTTGTGACACAGCTGCAAGGTTTATATTTAATGCACTTCTTATCCATGAGGGTTAATGTATTCATTCATTAGCATTTTTGATTGAAATATCAGAAGTGATTCCACGAATCTAGAATTATTTGTGATATAATTCAATGTTCCTCTTGATGATGTGCTTTATTTGGGAGTTTTTGTGGATGGATTTTAAAATTCCTTTCAGGTATGCATGTTTGTATGTTATTTCTGCTGTGTGAAGCTGTCATTTCATTACATAAGTGTAAGCGATGTACCAGTTAACAGGTAACAGCCAGCCAGACTACCTGTTGTGATGTATGTAAAGGTGGAACAACTCGGTTCATTATAAATACTAAAACCTTTCTCCTCTAGTGGGAGAAAAGAGTCTATTATTGTCCTTTGAGAATTTTATGGGGGCCTGCCACATCCTCATGCTTCATGTGATTTATTTTGGAGACATGCAGGTCTCTGATCTACAGGTCATTTAACTTAACTTCAGTTATGTTATTAAAAATAACAATCCAAATTTCTACCATTTTTTTTTTCTGAATAGTCTAGTGCATTAATTGTGGAAATAAACCTTTAATTAAGTTTGGTTATAATAAAACT